CCAATCCAAAAGTCCCACTAACAGATTCTGATTCTTTCAACCGGGCTACTGCCCCGCAATCTCTTAATTCATGCTAAGAAGCATCCAACAGACAGAAATATGAAAGAAACTTGAATTGGACATTTCCTCCTATGGATGTGAGGTTTCCGCCTTGTCTATTTTGGGTACTTAAGTCAACGAGCTCATATAACGTCATGCACGAAACATTTGTTCAAATCATTTCGCACTGAGAGCAAAAAACTGGCTTTTATCATTCTAATTCTTGATACATCATGACAATGATAAGCTTGAATGCACAAGGTTCCTCCATTCATGAAAATCCAGATATCGTGGGTTACGCAACTGTTTACGTTTTTAGAAACCGGCGCCAGGTGACCTCAAAGGTCGACTGCGTGATTACGGTGACTATTTTTTAATGGGAATATTTTAAAAACCGTCTATCTTGCGTATAATTAATTATGTTTTGACATACAAAAATGGAATATTCATGATAGTCTTTAAATGCGTTAAATGAGATAATGCTTTTCTGGAGGATTTCACTTAACGTGTCTGCGTGAGATATCTCCCGATGACTCAACTATTAAAGATTTCATTTTCATTATAGAATCCAATTGTTTGTCACGAAAAGTATAATAAAGAAGAATATGCACATTACAGTTAGCTAAAAGAAATATCAAATGCCAGTTCTCCCAATGAAGTTTAGGATAGAAGACCATTCCTCCAGAAACACCTCACTGTCAAACTCCTTTGTACCGAATATCTCGAACTTTAGATCGCGATATAAGGCATCCTTCATCCTTTCTCATCCTCTTCTCAGCACATAAAGCAGGTAAGGTATTTCTTATCTCTAATGAGAGTCTGCAGCAGCTTCAGATGACACCCACGAAAAGGTTAAACAATTTTCTGTCCCTATTCAATAGTCTGTACTTTTAGTGTGCTAAGTATAACCAGCTAAAAGTACAGATTAGAAACGAACATAAAAATGGCTAAATTCATGATAGTGCAACAACAAAAACAAATATAAAGACAGACTAGAAGGATATTGAGAACGTTATCACGTACAATTATCTGGACACATTTGTAAACGAATAAGCGAGACAAGAATCAAAAATAGATGGTAACATTTTGAAAATGAAGCTGCTACTGTGTTGCAGAGACCACATTTCGCTTTTGAAAATTCTTTTATATACCTTATAGATAATAGCATTTGTAAGGTGGATGTACCGCCGTATGCTCTGGATCTTATGGATGAATAAAGTCACAAAAGAGGAGATACTGCGTCGCATGAGAGCAGAATTTAAGCTTTTATGCACAATTCAAAAAATTGTGTCAAGTAGGTAGACTCTGCATTTCCTAGTCAACGCAGTCATCAGTTCATAAAGAATTACGTACAGCACAAGTTTTACTCTATCGAAATAAGACAGCGCCATAGACTTTATATCCTGGATATCGCATAGTTGCTATGCTTTCGTTCATTATGCCAGAGCCAAGCCTAGACTCTGATGATGAGTAGCCAAAAAGCACGAAACAGGTGTTCATGGTTGGTAGCCTTTGGTCAGATGGACGAAAGCAGCATGTTTAAGCTAGACCCTCTGAGAAAAAGTTATCTACAAACTATAACAGAGAAATCAAACGGACCAAATCCGTCAAATGGGTCAATACAATACTTACTGCTAGTAAGGCCAGAAAGTAGACGTAGGAACGCGTGTCAAAAACATTCCTCTATCGCTCTAAGTTTTAAGAGCAAATGCAATATCACCCTCTGCAGTGCGGATGAGACAATAAAGACATTATTATTATTATTATATAGCCTCCTCTACTGCCTGCAAACCCCCATCTTCTAATTATTTACCCTTAAAAAATGTTTTAAAAATTATCGAGATTCTCTGAAACGTCATAAGACTAGGTTTGAGCGGTACTTTCCAAAGTTATAGACGGGCCAACGATTTGCGGATAGACCGACAGACAGACAGACCGACGGGAATGAGTTACATTTTCGTGATGTACATCTAATATAACATCCGAAAAACATATCTGATTTTTTTGCAATATAATACTTTCTCGCCAATAGGCACTGGAAGAATAAGAAAACTAGAATGCTTGGGTCACATTATGTGTAATAACAAATACGAACTGCTCCAATTGTTCATCCAAGCCAAAGGAAGAGACTCCTGACTGAAAAACATCTGCGCCTGGTTTGACAAACATTTGCCGAACTTTTTTTCATAGAAACATGCCAATCGCCAACCTCTGGAGATGGTAGAAGCCACAGCAAGAACAAGATTCAACAGTCAGCCTTTTCTTGTTCCCTACAAGCCCATTCGCCCTGAACAATAATAATCAGGCGGCTTCTAAAATACCCCACCTTGCCATTCGGCCAATGCATGAGCCTGTAAGCCCTAGAGTCAAGCCAGGTGATCCAAAACAGGTACCCCCTTACTTGCAGCAAAGAATGTTGTTATTGCAGTTTATTTTGAACTTTGTGTAATTTCTCGAAGATCATTAAATTATCTTAACTCAAAAACACTTATCTCTAATAACAACCTGTATCGAATGATAAAATTGTTACAGCAATAAATTATAATTTTATTAGTGGTGTTAAAAGCATTTCCTAGTTGACAGAGTTTATGATGTTGCAGTTTGTGGGAATGATGAATGAATAGTGTTGTATCATGTTTCTTTGACAGCTGCAAAAATATCAATTAACGGTTTAATTAACAGTTATTAGCCAACAAACCATCATTAATAATCTTTTTTTAAAACAATGTACCTTCTAAAAGTGTATAGTAGAAACGGTTAACATACTGTGAATGGGGACTGAACATCAATATCAGTAAAACGGAATGCCTCGTAGTCGGAGAAAAGCTCAATGATCTTCAAGGCGATGCAGATATAAAAACACTCAGGAAATCAAATACTTAAAAACCTATATATCATCTGAAGGTTAAACTAGAAGAGAAATTCCAAACTGTTGGTATTAAACACAAGATCCCTCGAACTACCTATGGATACAACTTTATATAAAAAACATGAGTCTGTCGTAGTAAACATTCGTCTTTACCTTTTTTTGCCTCTCAGTATATTTAAAATGGTAAACCTGGTCGTACTTATAATGCTTCATTCTACAAGATTCCACCATCGAAGGATAAATTCAAATACTCTGACGGCATAAAAATATAGCCACAACAAAGATCCACCTGTTCCGATCGACGAGCCTTATTGCAAAAATCCATCTGGTGTTGGTTTACAGAATTATAGCCGGTGACTGTTATCAAAGAACATTTGGTATCTCGCGCAGTCATAACATGCACATTTACATCCACGCGTAAAACACCATAAGCAGCGATAATCACCAGCAATTTCGATTATTACCGTAATCTGAGTGGGCTCTCGGAAGACTTGCAGTGTAATGGTCATGTAATGTCTTAAGTTTACAGTTTGTAACTCCGCAATCACATTCCGCGCGTCGCTATAGAAAATAACTCATGTTGTCTTATCTATTGCATAGTGAGTTGGCCAGAAAGGAGCTTAGTTCGACTTTCTGAGTGCGTTCTTGGGAGATTTGCAGTGTACAGTCTGTTGGGTATACATCTTACTGGCTTTATCTGAAAGTAGCTATCTTAGCTATGAAGTTTAACAGACTTTCCGCTTCAAAGGATTTGAACGCTACCCATCATGATGAATTTCTGTAAGCCACCGTAGATGAAATGTGATAGCGAATAAGTGAGGGGTTTTATAAGTGGGTATAGTGAGCTTCTTCGATAAAGCGATGCTGTTGAGTTTGCTGTCTAGACGAAGCTATAAAGCCAATCCCCTGACTAAAAAATAGGGCCTTGAACTTGGTTAGCGTTTTCAAAACTATGTTGCAAACCTTTATTTAAGACCTAAGTTCAAAATTCAAAATGCCCTTCATCTTAAAACAAACTGACGCTACTCTAAATTGTCTGCACTCATAATCTTATGGTTGAATGATTTCAATGCGTTGAAAAAATTAGCATGTCCCACGTACTTTTCCGTTTATAACCGGAAATGTCTTTTGATGAACACTTCTGGCATCAATGAATGTCCAATCTAATTTGGTTCATAGTCCAGTCAGCGCGGTGGGTTAGCGGTAGATGCACTAACCAATCGCCGTGAGCTGCGCGGGTTCGAATCCGCTTCCAAGAAATTTGTGATTATCTCTAGGTGGTATACGATCTCAGACTGTGGAGCGTGGTGGTATCACCTAGCAGATCTCTAAGATAAGCCCACAATTATGCTTTCCCCCTTTCCGCTGTGTCCCCTCTTTAGACCCTCGGTCTATACGATGTAGGGTGAAGGTCTTTTCACGTAAGAGCATTACTTCAGCAGGACGCTATGGCACGTCGCCAGGATCCATAGTCATACTAACAAAATATGTGGCAGCCCCTCGACTTGGCGACTAGTAGCAACATACGCCAAAATCAATATTTCAATAGGTTAGTTTAGCTGGCGGCATCTCTATGGCGTCTTGGTGAGGAAGGAGTCTAAGAAAGCTTTCTATGTAGCAAATTTCAAGTAAAGGTAACGATATTCGCCAGTCTAGCAATAAGCATACATTCGAAACAATTAATTAATGTTGTTTTATTTGGGCGTATTCTGAAAAAAAATATACTAGCAGAATAAAAATCAAAGAGCTTTTTGTGTCCATGCCAAGAGTGTTCTGATAAACTTTTTATGAAATCTATCAATCATAAAATCATAGACCTATAATAACAAGAAAAAAGTGGGAAAAAATCAGAGAATGATTTGAATCCCTATCAAACACTATATATCATCATACGTAGAGCTGTTTGGTATTCTAGATTTGACTGTCTAATAGCATCGCTACAAGCGTTACAAGCACATAAATATCTTATCAAGATTGCAGTGACAGCTTTTGAATTATTGATTTTCAATTATTGCTGTCTGGCAGGTAGGCTGCCGTGCACAGAAGGAATATCTGCAGCTATCATGAAAAGGGAGAAAGAGGCGTACAAGGTTTAATCCTCCGATTCAGAGCCTGAGATATTGAATACTCTGAAGTAGAGATGATCGATATATCGGTACCGGCGACCTTTCCCGGTGACTTGAATGGTCGCCGTTAGTCCCGTCGACCTGATTCTCCATGAAGCAGCGACCCAGATCGCTGTTTGGAAGTATCGGTATCGGTAACCACTGATCGGTAGCTGTAACTCTGTTTCGGTCGCGGTCGCCAGGAAGCACATACACATCGCGTTCGCGATCATCGCGCGGGAAATACAGAGTCGCTACAACGTAGCCTAACCTATTTTGTTAGTTTTTATTGTTATTGTTGTGAGTTCCTGTTTCATAGAAAAATGTTTCGTTTATTAAGCAATGTTTAACATACAAAAGAAGCATTTTTATACTACATTTGTTATGTTTTCAAAGTTTTATTTTGACTGGTAAAATAGTATTTTGTTTTGCTTTTTAAGATTCATAGAAAGATATTTTATGTATTTTTATGGTTTTTTTGTGTTTTGTGCTCAATATTGTAAAAAACAAAAACCTTAAATATAGTTTAATTCAAATCTTCAGGAACCTGAATATCTACCCCTCGTTAATATCAATATGGATAACCGCCGCCAAATATCGAGTAATTTAATCAGCGCCAGGGAGTCGCTGGCTGCTGGCAGCGACCATAAATAAGCAGTGACCCAAAGCGCTGCTAAATCTACCGGCGACTTTAAGGTCGCTGTCACCGGTATCCCGGCGACTTGCAAGTCGCTGCTAAGATCATTTCTACTCTGAAGAGGATAAATACATACATATTTATGATCCTATATTTAAACTGGATGTCAAAGGTTAGTATAGTTTGGCAAACGGATCTGCAACAGCGAAAGGAATGCGACCGAAAATATTCGATATTGCCAAATTTAACTACAAAAAAGCAATAATAATAATAAAAGTAATTTCAATGATTTGAAAATCGATTTTTCACAATTCCAAAAAATATTAATTCAAAATACTGAGAATTTTAATGGGTTGTTAGCTCTATTTGTATTTACTAACTATTTTTTACTACTGAATCGTATTATAAGTAAACATTTTTCCAAAGATCTTATCTACATCGGTTGAGCTGGCAACAACCACCCGAAAAGTATATTGGACACCGCCTAAACGAATCTGATTGGCGGATATCCTCACATGTTTTGTCGCCATGAGAAAATTCGACTCCCTATTGGGTAACGTCCCAGACAATTTTTTGCTCCTTTCTTAGAATATCCATACTATTGAAAAGTCCAGTGGCGTAGGTTTTATCTCCGTTGATTGTCGTGTATTAGTTTTACAACTATTATTGTTAACTATTTATTGTTCTATTAAGTTTGTATGTTTAGTGCTGTGTGTTTTTGAATAGTTTAGTGTTTTGTTATTTGATATTGTTATTCGTTTTAGTATTATTTTTTTAAAATGAACCAATTTACTCGCGGAAAGACGCTTCATAGCCAAACAAGAGAAGTGATTGCGAATGTTTATAGGTTAGTAATAATAATATGCAATAATTGTAGTTTTTGACGACTGAGTCTGAATATAAATAAAAAACAAGGAAATGCTAAGCTAACATTCTGATGATTATTTATAGGGTTTGCGATGAGGAAGCGGCAAACAATTCCCTCAAGTTGCCGCTTAAACGTAAGCTTGATAGGGTGTCCCTTTATACCGGCGTCGGAGTATCTTCTGTTAGGAAAATTCATAACGAAGATAAAGAAAGACTAGAAAATAACCCGAATAAAATGTTATCCAGTCCCGGAAAAAAAAGACCGCGTCAGTCTCTTGTTGAGAAAGATGAAGATTTTGATTTTCAGATTATTAGACATTTGATAAACAGATTTTATCTTGAATATAAAGTTGTCCCGACAACTAGGAAGTTATTACAAAAGTTGCGAGAAGACTCAAATTTCCCCTATTCTAGGGAAACTCTCAGGAGTTTATTAAAATCAAATGGTTTTTTTTTGGCGCAAATGTCAAAATAAAAGAAAAGTTTTGATGGAGAGGCCCAATATATTGCAATGGAGGTACAAATACATCCGTGAAATACGTAGATATCGTGAAGAAGGGCGCAATATAGTTTATTTGGACGAAACCTGGGTGGACAATGACTTGACTTTCAAAAAATGCTGGCAGAGCAAAACTGTTTCTGGTGTAATAAGCAGTATAGGTTCTACAGGTAAGCAAAAATGCTATATATATGTTAAATTTAACTCTGATTTGTAACATATTATATAATCGTCTTGTATATTTTAGGTTGACTCATTATAGTGCATGGAGGTTCAGAAAATGGATTTGTTGACAATGCCTGTTTGATATTTAAGGCGGGATTAGCTACAGGCGATTACCACGGTCAGATGAATCGGGAAAATTTCACACGCTGGCTCACAGAAAAACTCCTCCCGAATATACCTGCCAATTCGGTTATAGTATTTGACAATGCTCCATATCATTCCGTCCAGGAAGATAAAACCCCGACAAAATCATCTTCGAAAAAAGATATAATGATATATATATATATATATATATATATATATATATATATATATTCTCAAGGTAAAAAACCACGTTAAGTATCTATTTGTATTTGAAAAATATATTTTATTTACGGCTTTGACAAAAACGCTAGCTTGATTTAGGTTTTAAATCGCGCAGTTATCATGATTTTTTGAATTGTGGCAATTTTGGGAAGTGAGTAGACATTTTTCCGTTTGTTGAAGTGTAGAAACAAACTCAAGTGTTTTTTTACATGGTGTAGATTGTAGAGATACAGCTATTTTTGAGTTTACCCGAGACTTTATTTATTATTATGGACAATGCTCCATATCATTGTGGGCTTATTGAGATACTCCCCAAATTTAAAGTGAAACATAAACGTATAGTTTACTAAATTTAAACCAATTATGAAATAATCCCAAACTTTTATAAAATACCGCACGCCGCTGGCATTTTATGAATGAAACCAGCCATGTTTTGCTTTCCCCTCACCGATACCCCGATGTTGCAGATCCGTTTGCCAAACTTTAGAAGAATATTGTTCTATAATCTCAACACCCTAAGATCAAAGTAGAGCTGGACCAAAGCGTCCCCATCAGTGATTCGATTCCATGTTCAACGCAGCAAGAGCCGATTATCGATTTCGATGGACTTGACTCCGAAATTGATGGTTTTGTTTGAAAGACGTGCTTCTGTTGATTCGGATACTGTTTTTAATTTTTGAGACTTCAGATGAACATCTTTCTCTCACTATAGTGCCTGTGTGCTGTGGGTTTTTCACATTTCAACGTACTATTGGAAATTGTGTTAAGCTTTAACATTTTGTGGATTTAGGAGGAGATATAATTTGCAGATTGCGTTCTTCTATATCTCTAAACCATTCCTTAATAATTCTTTAACCTAGTTGAATACTATTTTTACTCTCTCGATAAATTTCAGAGTAAAATTACAACTGGACGTGAATCCTTGTATAGTGATATTCGAATACGAGCAGTACCGTACGCGTTCAGAATCGCCGCAGCTCTAGTACCGGTCCAGAGGACGAGTTAGAGTTAGAAATAGGGCCTAGCGAGTACATCTTTTAGGCTTAGAGCTAGAGGCGGATCCAGGAGGACAAATTGGGGAGGGGGGGAAGGTGGGTCAAGCGAAATAAAATCTGCGAAAATTGAAGAGCGGGAGGGGTAGCGTCTGCGGTAGTGCTTCTGGGAGTGAATGCCCTCGTGACAATTGGACAGACTTGGGGGAGAAGTACCGGCGATTGAATATTAACGGGGCTCCTACAATCACGAGCACCATCTACTGAGGTAACGGGGGGTGAAAAGGAAACGAGGGTGGTCTGGCCCTAGACGGTCGTCGGCCCTACTTTAAAAGAGGAAAGGATGACTACGGGTGCATACCAAGGTAAATTTTTATAATAACAGAGTCGGACTTCGTTTAGCAATCTCGAATGTAAATCGTTTCTTATTTTGGTACTCAGCAAGTGATCATTTAGTATTTTTCTCCCTTGTTACTGTTCGTCGATATTGTGTTGTTGAAGTGTTGTGCTGTACTCTTGTTGGTGTGATTGTTCTTGAGTGCCTTTTTTTATCAAGGCTGATAACGGACAGTAAATGGTCATATGCAACCATTCTAATTACGAATGCAGTGAGTTGAATTCATGATGAGGTCAACAATAGTGTGGAGCAGTTCAACTCTATAATCGCAAATTACATTGGGGTAAACGAATAAATTATTGCAAGAAGAGGTCATACCATGGAAGATGTGCTGCAGCTCTAGTGAGCCACAATACCCAGCGGCCTGTCTATGTGGGCTAAATACATTTGCGTTCTAAGCTTAGTCCAACCTCGTTTATCGCTAAGATGGAACAAAGACTCAAACGCAAGAATCTTGAAAAGAAACTGAGACCAACAAAAGCTGATATAAAAATAACTAACAATTCGGATAGCAATTCCAAAGAAAGTGAATAGTTTTATGGCGAATTCAGTCAAAAACCTGAAATTAACTACATTGATTTGGAGGTTGCTAAGCGAAAATTTTGAGGGAAACTTAAAAAAAGTGACGACGAGATTTTGCAGATCGAACAAGTCACCAAATCACAGGCCTTCATCGGAGGATAAGGTTGACAGCGTCTCGATTTGGTGAAGTTTGTAGAAGAAGGCAGACAACAAGCTGTAAAGTTTTAGTAAACTCCATCATATACCCAACAGAGCTTTCTAGTAAGGCAATAAAAAAGGCAATACAAAAATTATTGGACACCGCAGTTCAATCTTGTGGTTTGTTTATTGATCGCACACATCCATCTCTGACAGCATCGCCTCCATCTACCTATTACAGTAGACAAGAAATGTATTTAATCCAGGTATAAGCCTACCTGTTTATTGCTTCGGAAAAACTACCTAACTGTGTCCTCTTATTTTGACGGCATAGGATATTTTTATCACCCTCGTTCAATTGTTACCATATACCACATGACCCTTGTAAACATAATTGTTTTTATTGACATGAATAAACGAATTTGAATTTGAGATCTTGAATTTATTTTAGGAAGGATATCAAATTATTTGAATACATTTTTTCTTAGTCGGAACGCACCGTCGCATCGCTTGGACTGGCAGGACGAAACAGTAGACGAATTTCGCCCAAAAACCGATTTGCACATCACAGCTTACGTTTCATTTTTTATTATTTCCAAATTAAACTCTTGCAGCGTGCTAAAAACAAAGTCCACAGAGTGCTAACGATCCACTTTCGATTTTATCCACTAGGATCTTTTTAAACTATCAAGAAGTTGAGCACAAATAGTAAGCATTTCAACCCACCATAATTCTTGCGCAAAAACAAAATTTTGTAAAAAGCTCAAATAGCACCTTAGGCGATTATATCCTGCTTTTATCCAGAAAAACATCACAAACTGGAGGTAACGGCGAACTGGGTACATTTCACGGGTCATGAAATTCAAATGAAAATGCACGTATAAAATCTACCAAATTATCGTTCTCAAAAACATATTTCATTGACATATCGATAATTTTAAAGTTCCACGCTAAATTCCCCTATACTTGACTGGAGTGATATCCGAATTCATTCTTCCCTAATGTCGGCAGTTGCAGATAGATCTGTTG